AGGAACTCTAACATATAAAGAATCCATAAACACTTAATCAGTGATTCTATCTCCTCTTAAACTTTCATTCATTCTTACCTAAGTAGTTTGATCAATCAACAAGCATTTTACTCAGCAAGTAGTGAGTGCTGGGCACTGTGCTGTGTGTTGGGGATATAGTGACAATACAGTGAGACTGTCTCTGTTCTCAAGCAGCTCATAGAGATATGGGACATACATAATGTAGATACAATGAATTACAAGGTAGTTTTGAGAGGGAATACTCTAGCAGCTTGGGGAATCTGTAAAAGACTTTTATTTCTCTGATTTTTGAAGAAAGTCAAAGATTTCAAGAGCAGGAAGAGGAAGGAGTGCTAGCCAGACATGAGGAGAGCCGGAAGCAGCACATGGGATGCTGTGTGACGAATAGCAAGGCAGCCTGGGAGTCACTCAAGTTTACTAAGCAAAGGATAGTATGGTAAGACCTGCACTTTAGGAATAGCCCTTTGGCAGCTCTAGGAAGGATACACTGAAGAAAGAGAGATTTGAGGCAGGCGTGATCAATTAGAGGGCTATTGCAATAGTCCAAGTGAAGGTGATAAGGGCCTGATCTAATCATGAAGGCTATGTAAGAGAAAAGAAGGATACAGAAACCGTTAAAACTTAGCAACTGATTGGACATTTGAGGAGAGCGAGAGGTTTGCTCTGAGGTTGTAACTAAATGATGGAATGTATACATAAGTGTATAAAACTCTCCAATAGCATATATTTATTTATACAGCACGTATTTTGGCGACTGTAGAAAATTGTCAGTCAGCTGCCTATTATCATCCAGATTCTAAACTCTGGAAGGCTGATAATTATGCTGCCTTTTTTTATTCAGATTACCTATCACCAAAACCCCAGCACCTTTTAATCAACAAACATTTATGAAGTGCCTACTGTGTGAGAGACTCTGTACCTGCTCAAAAAACCCCTCCCTATTCCTGATGCCCTAGTCAGGCAGATGGAGCGCTGGGTTTGAAATCAATAAGACTCATCTTTCTGAGTTCAAATCACTTTAACAAGTCACTTTAACCCTGTTTGCCTCAGTTCCTCATCTGAAAATGCGCTGGAGAAGGAAATGGCAAACCACTCCAGTATCTTTGTCAAGAAAACACCAAAACAGGTAACAGGTTATTCATAAGGTAAATGTTGCTTCTACTACCTCACTGTCTTAGAAATAACATAGTCATCATAAGAACTAATAGATCAATCTCTCAACTCTGTGTCACACTTTTACATAAATTACCTGGCTTCGAGATTATACCCACTCCCTGTGAGGTAGGTAATTATTCCCACTTCACAGAAGAGGAAACAAGTTCAGACAGGTAAAGTGATTTAGCCCAATATTACACAGCTAATAAGTGGTAGAGCTCAGGCTAGACCAGTTCTTCTGACTTCTTTGGTCGAAGGAAAGGACTAGCTTTTCCCTGACCTAATTCACAGCAAAGCAGACAAAGAGTAAAGCAGATAGGAAGGCTGTTCACCTCCTCTCCTGAAATTCTGATCACTCAAAGCTTTCTAGGAGGGGAAAGATAATTATATAATACAGAGCTTGTAATTATAGAACCTAGGAGAAATATACTAAATAAGCTAAGGAGAAGTAAAAACAGAACAAAATGGAGGTCAATAAAGTGAAATTTGAGTCCCAAGACTCCTGAATCACAAAGCAAAAAGATTAATACATAAATAAAAGGAAAAACTGAAATTTAAGGCAATTTTATTTATGTTTATAGAGAATTCTGAAGCCTAACTGACAATCTTTCAAAAAAAAATACATCTTCAAAGTCATAAGGAGCCTAAAATAGTAACTTCCTTCTTTTGAACAATAGAAAAAAATTCAAAGAAAAATGAAGAAATCCAAAAAGCTACATAAAGATTTATGGAGAAGGATATATATAATTCTTTATTATGCTTCTTATTTGATTTGAATAACAATACTTCAGAAAAAAATGTGCTCTTCTAAAGAAAATATTTTACTCCAGAAGTGCTATGTCTAGCAAGAAAAAAAAAACACACCCAAATGAGATGCTTTTTGATGACTGCGAAGAATTTTAAATTGATAATTTTCAAAGACCAAACCCTAGTCCTTACAATATTTGTCATTTAAAACCTGCTACCTTTACAAATGCCATGTTAAATGCAATTGCTTTGGTTTACATTTGATAGGGTAGCCCCTATGAAACCACAGGGTGGTTTTGGGTAAGAGCTTCAGAGAAATAAGTCTGTAAAAAACACTTTAACATACAGAATGCTGAAATTATTCAAAGAAAAAGGCAGCACAACTTTCAAAGAAATGTTGACAAGAATTTGACATTTAAAAGTCTTTGCAAAGGTACTACTTCTTCCCTTCCAAAGATAATGAGATTTTTGGGGGGGGGGGTGGCGCGAGGCAATAGGGTGAAGTGACTTGCCCCGGGTCACAGAGCTAATACGTGTCAAGTGTCAGAGGCCAGATTTGAATTCAGGTCTTCCTGAATCCAGGGCCAGTGCTCCATCCACTGCTCCATCTAGCTGCCTTGATAATGAGAATTTAAATAAAATAACTTAGATAAAAATTTTTGGGTGAAAGACCATATCATATGAGTAGAGGGTTGCAATTTCATAATGATAAAGTAAATATTGTAAATGGAGTAATTTAAAGCTGTTTTTCACAGTACAATGACAAAGGAAAAATCTCTGCCTAATTTTAGAGAAGAACAGAGAATTGAAAAATGTAGGAAAAAATGTATTTTTCAGAGAAGCCTTGGAAAATAGGAAAGCAGAACCACTGGACCAAGTAAGAAAACAGACACAGAAAGGGGAAATAATTTGCAAGGAAAAAAAAGTCATTAAATAGGCCAGAGAGAAAACCAGAAATAAATTCCAGATTTCGTGATTTCGTGGTCCACTGTATCTACTTGTACAAATATACAGAGACTCACCAATTATGCAAGAAAACACTATTCTTTATATAGACAAACCATTTCCTTTCATGTGGTTTTTTAACTTTTCAATTCACTTTTGACTTTTATGGGAAAAGAAAACAATCTTCTCATTAGATTGATAGTAACCATTTAGTCAATTAAGATAAGGAATAGTCTGCTCTTTCTGCTTCCCTGTAAAGCACTTAGAAACATAAACACTATAACTTACCTTTTCAAAGGAGGCAATAAAAGTATTTTTTAAATTTTTTAAAAAATTTTTAAAAGGCTAAAAAATCTGTGGAGAGCCCAAAAGACTAGAGACACCCCTCTCTATAAATTCATTAGTTTGAAAGATATATAGCATAACCTTTAAAAAAAACAACAAAACATATCAAGTATTTTAATTCATTCTCTGGAACTACTGGGCATCAGTTTGTTCATAGTTGTGTTTCCTTTAAGCTTAAAAAAAACATAGTTCTGTGGATAGAGCATCGGCCCTGAAGTCAGGAAGACCTGAGTTCAAATCTGGCCTCAGACCAAACACTTGACACTTACTAACTGTGTGACCCTGGGCAAGTCGATTAACCCCAATTGCCTAAAAAAACAAAAAAAATATATAGTTCCTAATTTTTTTAGCTATACAGGAGCCCAACACTCATTGTAACAAATATTTAATGATAATTTTTTTTAAAATGAAGTCTTATAAACAAGGAACAAAAGGAATCATAAAATATAAAATAGATCATTTCAATTACATGAAATTAAAAAGCTTTTGTGTGAACAAAATAAAAAAAATTAGAAAAGAAATGGTAAAGTGAGAAAAATATTCGAAACAAATCAAATATCACTGGGAATATCAATATCCATACCATGTAGGGAATTGATACAATTGTATAAAAACTCAAATAAGCCATTCTCTAATAAAAATCATCAAAGTATATGAACATTTTTTCAAAAAAGATTTGCAAACTATAGAGGACCACATCAAAATATAATCCAAATCACTATTGTAAGAAAAATGGAAGTTAAGGGACAGCTAGATGGCGCAGTGGATAGAGCATTGACCCTGGAGTCAGGAGGACCTGAGTTCAAATCCAGTCTCAGACCACATACTTTACACTTACTAGCTGTGTGACCCCGGGCAAGTCACTTAATCCCAATTGCCTCACAAAAAAAAAAAAAAAGAAAAAAAAAAAAAAAGAAATGTAAGTTAAAACAACTCTTGAGATCTCACCCCATGCCATGAAAATCGGCAAAGAGGAAAAATATTATAACAGTTGACACTGAATGGACTGTGGGAAGAAAAGCACATTATGCATTGTGGCAGAGCTGTGATGTGCCCAACTATTTTAGATTTCAAGCTAAAATCATGCAAGAAAAGTGATCAAATTGTCCATACCCTTTGACTCACCAATCCCACTAGTGGACATAGACTCAAGGAAGTCAAAAACATAAGTAAAGTTCTAATAAATACCAAAGTATCTATAGTGGCACTCTTTGTGGTAGTAAAGAACTAGAAACAAAGTGGGTACTAATCAAAAACTATGGCATTTGGATAGAATGAAATGGTTTTGTGCAGTAACAAATAGTGGATACAAGGACTTCAAAGAAACATGGGAAGATTTCAATAAAATGATGTGGTATGAAAGAACAATTTTATACAATGGCTATAACAATTTAAAGATCACTAAAAGGAAGGTGAACTAAGGATTATTAAATAAAGTAATAGAAACACCAATGAAGGTTCTGGAGTCTGGAGAAGACATAATGAAACATCTCCCTCTCACAGAGGGGAGTGGAAGACTACTAAAACAGAAAATCAAATAAATTGTCAAGTATGGACTTTGTACTGGGTATTTTTACTTAATTGTTTCTCTTTGTCACAAGGGAGGGGTCAGTGAGGAAAGAAGTGAAAATGACTGACATAAAGACACAGGGCATCAATAAAAAATTTCTTTAAAAGCAGCCTTATAAAAACAGGGATACCACCACCTATCTTATTTCCTCAGTGAGGGCAATTCTCTTCCACTATAAAAGCATATCTAACATAGGAGTCTCTTTTTACATACTTACTGCCGAAAGGCTGCCATTGTGTTTTCCAAGTTCTCTCCAGCACCTGTAGAAACAAATAAATCACTGATTCATTTCACTAATACAAAAGTGCAATTTTTGTCTGAATTGCTGCATTTTAAGAAAATAAATCCAACCTGTCTATGAATATTACATAACCATCAAAATGCAACCTAACTCAAAATACATTATTTTAAGAGATTGTTAATGTTCATTGAGCTTTGTTTCTTGAGCTGCCTTCAGGAGCAAGCAATGATTAAAACATGGCCAAAGCAACATTAGTGGATAGAATAACTAAAATGCCCTCCAATGATCCAGTACCACATTCTTGCTTTCTTATGAAAGAAGATGGCTTACAACATAGCACAAATTTAAAGAAACACCAAATATTTAAATGGAATTAATTTCTCTAAGTCTTTATAGGCACAGAGGGGGAAAAAAGTAGTCTAAAACTAAATGACTACAGTTTAACAGGTAATACAAAAAATAGCCACATACAATGAAAATTCATGAAAGTTAACAAAACATCTAAAAACTAAAAGATTAACAAAGATACGCATATGGGAAAACATTCTGGCAACCTAACAGAAATAGGAAACCAATTTCTCCATGGTAAGAAGACACACAAAGTTTGATCTCCTTGAGGAAAGTTGCATTGAATTATTTCATAGATTATTGATTCAAAGTACATTTATAAGTGTATCAAATAACCATTTTAACTATTTGTTTTCTGTTGCTTGTTAGATAGTTTAAAAAAAATCTAACATAAATAAATAAAAAAAATTTAAAAAAAATAATCTTCCTAAAAAAAATAAAAGTATTCTTTACATATCTAAAAATCACTTTGTCACTTTAAGGAAATAAAGCTGTAATATAGATAACTTTCCTCAAAAAAAATTTAACAAATAATATAATACACAGCATTCAAATACAAGTTTCATGGGGCAGCTAGGTCGTGCAGTGGATAAGAGCACCAGTCCTGGAGTCAGGAGGACCTGAGTTCAAATCTGACCTCAGACACTTATTAGTTGTGTGACCCTGGGCAAGTCACTTAACCCCAATTGCCTTAAAAAACAAAAACAAAACAAACAAATACAAGTTTCACCTAATGCACTTGAAGTTAAGAAGTTGTACATGAAGACCGAATCTGAGCGATTCCAACAGTGGATGATACAGAGTAGAATAAGGAAAATAATTTTAATCTGAGTCTTCCTCCAATAGATACCAGAGAAGATTACAAAATTAAATGAGAAACAGTCCCTACTTACATGGAACTCAGTACAGCATATGAAGAAATGACTAACACATAATTATTTTTCCTTTATTTTTAACATTTTTTTTTTAAATTCTGAGTTCCAAGTTCTCTTCCTCCAGCCTTTTCCCCACCCCTTGAGAAGGTGAGCAATACATCAATTACGCATATGAAGTCATGCAATTAGCAATGTTGCAAAAAAAAAGTGACAAAAATGAAGTGGAAAAAAGTATGCTTCAATCTGCACTCAGAGCTCATCAGTTCTCTCTCTGGAGGTCAAGAGTATTTTTCATAATGGGTCCCTTGAAATTGTCTTGAATCATTATCAAAGTGGTGTAGTGAATAGTGGAGTGAATAGTGGAGTAAATAGCCTGGAGACAGGAGGACTGACTCATCTTTGTGAATTCCAATCTGTCCTCAGACACTTACTAGCTGTGTGACCATGGGTAAGTCACTTAACCCTATTTGCCTCAGTTTCCTCACCTGTAAAATAAGCTGGAGAAGGAAATAGCAAACCACTGGTATTTTTACCAAGAAAACCCCAAATGGGGTCACAAAGAGTCAGACATGACTGAAAACAACTGAACAACAACAAAATCTTAGGAATCTTCTTGGATCATTATCTTGATCAAAGTAGCTAAGTCTTTCACAGTTGATCATCCTTACAATATTGTTGCTACATATATTACGCTTACATAAGTGTAAGATGGTCTTCTGATTCTGCATACTTCACTTTGCATCAGTTTAGATAAGCCTTCCCATGTTTTCCTGATACCATTCCCCTCATCATTTCTTATAACACAATAATATTCCATCACAATCATCTACCATAACTTGTTCAGCCATTTCCAAATTGATGAGCATCTCCTCAGTTTCCAATTCTTTGCCACTACAAAAAGAGCTGCTATAAAGATTTTTATACACATAGGTTGTTTTCCTTTTCCTTTGATCTCTTTGGGATAGAGACTGAGCCGAGCAGTGGAACTGCTGGATCAAAGGATAGATGCACAGTTTTATAGCCGTTTGGGGGCACGGTTCCAAACTGTTCTCCGGTACATAACTCTACTAACAGCGCATTAGTGTACCTACTTTTCTACATGCCCTCCAGCATTTATCATTTTCCTTTTCTGTCATGTCAGCCAATCTGATAGATATGAGATAGTACCTCTGAGTTAATTTAATTTGCATTTCTCTTATCAGTAGTGATTTAAAGCATTTTTTTCATGTGATTGATTTCTTCCTCTGAAAACTGCCTGTTCATATCCTTTGACCATTTATCATGTGGGGGAGATGACTCTTATTTTTATAAATTTGGCTAAGTTCTCTAAATATTTAAGAAATTAGGTCTTTATCACAGAAATTTGCTATTGTTTCCCAGTTTCCTGATTTCCTTCTAATTTTAACTGCATTGGTTTTATTTATGCAAACCGTTTTTAATTCTATGTAATCAAAATTATCCATTTTACTTCCTGCGATCCTCTTTAGCTCTTATTTGATCATAAACTCTTTTATTATCCATAGATCTGAGAGGTAAATTTTTCCATGCCCCTCAGTTTACATATGGTATCATCCTTTATGTCTAAATCATTTATCCATTTTGACCTTACTTCCAGTGTGTGAAATGTTGTTCTATTCCTAGTTTCTGACAAACTGCTTTCCAATTTTCCTGGCAATTTTTGTCAAATGGTGAGTTCTTGCCCCAAAAGCTTTGATCTTTGGGCTTATCAAATACTAGATTACTATGATAATTTACTACTGTGTATTGTGTACCTAATCTATTCCACCACTCTATTTCTTAGTCAGTACCAGATTGTTTTGATGATTGCCACTTTTGTAATATAGTTTGAAATCTGGTATTGCTAAGCTGCCTTCTTTCACTTTTTTTTATTGATTCCCTCGATATTCTTCACCTTTTGTTCTTCTAGATGAATTTTTTATAGTTCATACAGATTAACTATAATACAAAATGATACCTATTTGTATTGTATGTTTTCTAGTGATAAATACTATGTTGTTTTCATCTTCTTACTTACCAACACCTAGCACAATGCCTTACATATGGTGGGTATTTAATACGTGTTTGTTCTCTAGTTGAGTCCACCTGAATCAGGAGAGACTAAGGGTGGGTAAGATTAAGATCAACTTGGGGATAAACTGGGGAATCAAGAGAGAGGCTTAAGGAAGGTGGCAGTTATTCTAGCAAGACTTTAAAGGATAGGTAAATTTTCATTATGTAGACATGAGGGAAGGCAAGAGGTCATTCCTGGTATAAGAAATAGTCTTTAAGCACAAAGACAGAATATGTGAGAATAATGAGTCTATTTTGGCTGAACTATAGCACAAGTTGAGTATAAGATACTAATATATCTCCCTCCTTTTGTAGATTATCATTTATTGTACTGTTTAAATCTAACTTTATGCAACTAGAGATTATTTGAACCCAGAATGTTGTCCTGGAATACTGGAGATACAAGGAATTTTAGGGTCTCCCAACCTAATTTTGGGTGGATCTCCTGGATCTACCCAAAACATTCTTCTTTTGGGTCCCCACACACTAGGTCTTGTTTGGGATCACCCCAAGCTTATGTTTTGGATTCCCTTGTGTTTTGGCTTTGCCCAAATTTTATTGAATGTTTATGCTTACTGATATCCACCTCATCTATCTTTCTTTCTTTCTTTCAATTTGCTTTCTTTGCAAAATTGCTTAATGGTGTACATTTGGCTCTCGTGTATATATATAATTAAATCTCCTAGAGCCTAGATGAGAGGTAGCCAACACTTTCTTTCCAGCTCCTCTCCTCTACCAAACAACTTAATAAATTTCTTTCTATAACAATTTCAGATTTTGGGGTTTGTTCTCACAAACAACCTTTTTTTTTGCACTTTGACATATTTTTATTTATTTCATTAAATATTCCCCAATTACATGTAAAAATTTTTAACATTCATTTTTTAAAATTTTGAGTTCTAAATTCTCTCCTTCCCTTAAGAAGGCAAGCAGAATGACATTGATTATACATGTGAAGTCAAAACATGTTTCCATATTAGCCATGTTGCAAAAAACACACACAAAAAAAAACAAAATATAAGGAAAGTGAAAAAAGTATGTTTCAATCTATACTCAAGAATTCATCAAGCATATGGTACTTTCTTGACCAAACTCCTTGCAAAAACTGGCTACACGCTTATGCTTCTACATCTCCTCTCACTCTCTGCTCAATACGAATTTTGTCATTGGTCAGAATGTAATAAAATCATACTTATAATTAAAAAAACTAAAGAATGGGAAAGAGTAGAACACTTTGAGGTATTTACTACTAAAATAACTGCTATTAGTGACTGGTTACAATGCTAATTATCTTATAAAAATAGGATATCAATAATACATATATCACACAAGTTGGTTTTGAAGAAACACTTGGTATACTTTAAAGTGTAAAAACACAAGTTATCACTATCTCTATTAGATGCTAATAAGGTCCTTAAAAGCAAGAATTATTACTGATGCTAAGTAAATTGTTTCTGAATAGTTTTTAAATCTCATTTAGCCCCACATATTGTAGTTGGTAGAATCTCAATAAAATGTTATTTCTGCTACCTTTTCTGGTAAAAAGGATCCAAACACTTCAGTTCTGGCACCATCACCCCTTCCCTCCATGTTCTAATTACTTATTACAACCACCCATAAAGATGTCAGTTGACTTGGATGTCCTGGTGTGAGTTCAATTCAAATTTCTTCATTAGAATTGGCTCCTAACTGCCCCATCAATCAATGCTACCACCATTTTCCCAGT